CACTGGTACGGCCTTCTTAACATTTGCAAACCAAACCAAACCAAACCAAACTCAAGACAACTTTTACTATCTTGACTCAGTTTTGGATTCAAAAGTGCTGCAAATAGCAGAATTTATGGAATAAATGATACGTTTCGTTTGTTGAAATCAAGCAATTATCGTTGCTTTAGCAAACTTTACCATGAACCTTTTTGATACAGAAATGAGATTTCAAGAATAACATTCAGTTCATTTGCGTAATATGCTATGTGATTAGGGTTTTGTCTATGTAATTGTACGCAAATCTTATCTATCATTTATAAAAGTTCATTTAAATCGTTTACCATAAAGGATATATAGTTATTATGGCCATTACAAAAGAAAAAAATCTTTTGCTTTAAAGTGGCCAGAGGTAAGATCAAAAGCTTCAGTCTTTCAAGATGACTCTCAATGCGACAATATACAAACAACAATAAAATTTTTAACTTAAATTTTATTATTGCTCAGTGCTCTTCATTTTGTGTGCTTATATCTTCCGTGTAATTATTCGTTCACCCTCATTAAAGCTTAATAACACCTGTCCATTTTATCAAAAATTTTCTTAAATTTTGCAGTAAAGTTTGTGTATTAGGGGAATTTATCATATTAAAGTTTGGTGGTTAAAGATGAGAGGTGGGCAGATCGTTTGTCGTATTTCGAGTACAGCCGTTTTTAATTACGATTTTACTCGTTATTAGCATTTAAATATTTTTATGAACCCCACCCCTTCCTTCAAAATTAAAGTTTTTTCCATTTTATAACAATTAAAAAAATAAAAGTTTTTAAAAATAAAATAGCATAACAAATGCCACCACCAAACGTTGGAAAAGTTAAGCGTTCTTTGCTGGATTTCTGTTGATTCACTCAAGACGGCTGCAAGGTGGAGGAAATGTTTTGGTGTTGTGTGCATTTGGATGACATGGTACGAGAAATCTAGCTTTTATCTCAGGTCGTATTAATGCTGTAGGATTTGAGCAAGTACTAGTTATAGACATTTTACCGTTTGTGGAAAAAACTGGAAGAAAGTTTTTAAATTTCGATAACATAGTGCACCCACTCATAACGCAAAATCACCTTGTAACTGGTTTTTGGCAAATGGTATGCACGTTATGGACCGGACCCCATATTCTGATCTTAGTTCTATAGAAAATACGTTTGTTATCTTAGGAAGGAAAGTGTATAAGAATGAAAAGCAATATACATCAGTGGAATCATTAAAAATAACAATAACTGAGGCTTGGCACAAAATCACATAAAAAGACTCTATTGACTCAACTTTAAGACTCTATCAGTTTGAGACAATTATATCTTATACAAGGTTGTCAAAATTCATTTTTTATTTTTATTTTATTACTGTTTTTCGATAAAATTATTATTACGTGATATCAGAATAAACCAATAGTCAATTCCCTTCTATTGTTTCTTAAGGTAATTTTTATTTCATTATTTTAATGTCATTAGTTTACATGACTCTATCATTTCGGAACAAACTGTATGTATAACTGGATATCGTGAAGAAGTCGTAATTTTGTAATTCCATCTGAAGACAAAATATTTAAAGTGAAAATTTGGCACGATTAGTGTATTGTCCGAGTTTCTGTTGTATTCTGGTCGCGCGCGACACGTCAGTGGCGTTTATGATTGCTGACAATTTAAGTGCATCGATCTCTATAACAAATTTTTATTTTGATGTTTACGACGGGCATTTAACATGTACGATGTCGTGACGAAATCAATTTTTTAAAACACTCACATGGGTGTCCTGCGGCCGTACATATGTGTCTTAACGGTTGTTGGAATTGGTAGACCGCTGTCTACAAACGTGGGTGTTTTAAACGTTTCTTAACGTTTCTATGACATTGAACTTTCACGTCCATCCTCGAATTTGCGTTTTGAACTACTTTAGACAGAACGTTAGAAGCGTATCAAGCCGAAACAGTAAAACATATGCCGCGAAGCTGAACTTCGTTTTTTTTAAAAAATAATTTATTTCAAATAAATTTACTAGGTAACAATTAGAAATAAATCACACTTGTATGTGTTAAATCCTTTGCACATGACACCGATTTAAGCATTTTGATTGAACAAAATAAATAATAGTCAAGTTATTAAAATACTTTATTTAAGCAAATTATGAATCATTGTAAACTTGAATAGAATTTTACAATTTAAATTAACTCTGAATTTAAAATATAAATTTATATACCAATATACTTATACCAATTTATTATATAACAAATAAAAATTATAAAGATTAGTTTTACAAAATTCTTCAATAAATTGTCAACGAAGAGGAGAAATTTCAATTTCTTTAGTTTAACATTTATTTGCATTCTCCAGGCATTCCTGAAAGAAAAAACAGCATAGTAATAATAATAATAATAATAATAGAGTCTATGTAACTTATACCTTTTATATAAAATAATTTGCACTTTAGATTTACGTACGAAAGGTAAATTATCTGTTAATTTTCACTCATATAAATAATAATTTTCATGATTGCTTGTAATATTTGATTGATTTAAATAAAAACTTGAATAGAGATTGATAGAAAAGATTGTCAGTTCATACTTTCTAGTATCACTTTAATACATCATAGAGAAAACATAGTGAATGATAAAATTTCAAACTGTCCAGATTTTTTTTTTTATATTTCTTGACATTTTCACACTAGAAAGTCAGAAATGTAAAATTATTCCTAAGAAAATTCTGTCTGAGTGGTGTGTGTCGAAATCTATTTTGCATTATTTCTAGAGGCTGGATAAATAAAGAATTTTGATACTTGGCAGGCAGTTCTATTTCAATATTTAAGACATCGATGCTATTTAAATTTTAGTAATTAAAGACCAAGGGGTGCGAAGACAGAAAATGGGGTCAATGAACATATTTCGAGTGGTGCTAGATTTAATGAAAATTTACTCGCTATATTTTATATAGTTTGTTTAGAAACGCGCTCCTATCATCAAAATGAAGCTCTTTGCCTTTTTATAATGATTAATAATACAAAAATTATTTCACAAGAAAGTCTCATAACAGATAGCGCAACACGTTTAAGTGCAAAAGTATGTACAGTACAGTATATACTGTTTGTATAATTATCTATATATTATGATTAAATTATCTATACTCTATACTACTATATAAAGAGATAACGTATTTTTCGTTTGTGACCACTAACCGTGAAAACTACTGAACCAATCGTTAGCAAACTTTAACTGTAGCATCTTTATGATCCCTGGAATGTTTACCATTAATCAAACCTACAGATTTTTTATTAATTAAATAAAAATGCAACGGAGTTTTGTCTGTCTATTTTTCTCTCTCTTCACTAGATGGCGACACACGCTGTCTATAAGAAAAGTCTATTATTGAAGTTTACTATTATATTTGACGAACTGACATTAAATTATAATTAGTTAATTAGCAAAATCTTCGAGGAATTAAAAAAGTGACGTCATCACGCTAGATGGCAGTATGTGTACTTATGAGGGATTTTCGAATCGTTTCTGCAGGTAATTTTACAAAATATTCGAAATAGTTATTGGTGAATATTTTTGAGATTGATAAATAATGCCGAGAGCTGCAAGAGCACGAATAGGAAGAAACAGTTCATAATTGTAGACGACGTGAATCTATACTTCTACAGCAAAGACTGGAAGGGCAACGAATTCGTTCGGCTCAGAATCGAATGCGTGTAGCGAGGAATTTTTTACGTTTCACGTCAATATAACTTATTCAGAAGTTTTATGATATTATTTTTTAATATATTTTGCAATACTCTACTGCAATACTACACATTGATCACTCAAAAATAATTAATGAACAATTAGTTCAAATTTTCTAATATGTATATATTAGAAAATTTGAAGAAATATGTATATAAGAGCGAGCAGGCCTCGACGGGGATGCTAGTGTTTTATATAAAGTATTAATGATTAATTAATAGTAAATTGAATGTGCAGTTGGATTCGAAATTATAAAAGTAATTTTAACAGTATTGTTGATTTCTATTCTTTCGTATGTTTAAAAATCTAGTGAAAACAATATTTTTTTTATACAGTTATATAATTAAACTAATCCTATACAGAACACCGGAACTGATTCTAATGGACATGTGTCGATCCAGATTAATGTCAGATGACGTACTTTTCTCTTAAATTTAAGTAACTTTGATTAACTTTCCTTCTGTATTCAATTTATTCGCAATTTCGGTCACGGATAAGCATCACTTGACAAACACTGTGATTATTTTTTTCCTCATTTTCGTTTAGTTCAGGGACTCTTTCCCATTTTTCTTAATGTTTTATTACACATGACAAGTAAACAAGAAAAAAAAATACTTTCATGTTTGAAAAATCTAGTCAACATACGCGAATAATATGTTTCGGCAACAGTTACTTTAGCAACAGTTACATAAATTTAAAAATTCAACTTTTATAAAGTGTTTGATCCTTGTTAAAGTTTAAAATTAACATATCATCTATTTTACATTTTAATCATATTTTATTTAATTTCCTCAAAAGACTTGTGGATAAAAATCATATCAGTCATTATATTTTTCTATCAGTACATTACCATTCATAATATAATAACGAAGATATCAGGAATAATTCAAATTTTCAAGTAAATCAGAAAATATAGGGGAGACCGGGGCAACTTCGGCATGCGGGGCAAGTTTGTCAAGCGCTTTTTTTTAAAAACAAATTAAAAGGAGACTTTGGTTATAGGTTAGGCAGTTGAGTTTTATTGGTGGCTTGTTGAGTGTAGTGTTTTTATTGTTCTCCAACAAGCGTAGTTGAATTATCAAGCAAATTTTCATTTTCGTTCAATTCCATATAATATTTTTTTTCCATTTATATTGAATTGGCAGGTTTTGTTATAATTCCATGATAACGAAAGTTACTTTTCCTGTTAGAAGGATGTAACTTCAACTTATTCACGTGGCCAGATCGTGGCTTGGCATTCTGTTCTCAGGGTTGTACTTAATGTTTCGAAATCATGACTAGCGGGGTAAGATCGGCAACATAAAGCCACATTAGAAGCAAAGGATAAAAATCAAACAGATGATAAATGAAAACATGTTTGCATTTGTTATTCATGTATATATGTCTTTGAACTTGCATTTCGTTGTAATAATATTAAATGGGTGTTGGATTTGTATTTCTTTGTTTTAATAGTGAATTCCAACTTATACATTGTTAATAACATAATTTTATATACGTGCCTATCTTGCCCCATTACTGTTGCCCCTATACCAGGGGCAACTTTAATAAAAATAATTAAAATAATTACAACTTTACAAAAAGAGAGAAGTTGCCGATCTTGCCCCTATACCCGGGGCAACTTCGTCAATTTCTCTCTTCTTGTAAAGTTGTAATTATTTTAATTATTTTTATTTCCAAACTGATTTTAACCAGTTCTATAGTAAGGTAACATTCCAATAGACAATATGCAAAGCTTTTTTTTCAGTTTACAGCAGTATTTATTACACAAAATTTAAGTAAAGCTTAACATGCCGATCTTGCCCCGATCTCCCCTATATTGTTCCTGTATGTTTCTGTCTCACATTTAAATGTTAAGTGTTACGTCCTAATATTAAATGAAACTGCTGATGAGCGACACATATTGTTACCTGAACTTATAATTAAATCAGCTTTAAATGCTTTAGTTATTATACAATAACTGATTTAATACTTATTTAATAAATTTTATATAAATAAATTTAATCGCCTAGCACTTACTTGAAGAGTGGGATAAGTTCTTGGATTGGAGAGACTGTAGGCATCTGTAGCTGAAGTGCAACATTCCAGATATTGGGCGTATAACTATTAATAGAAATATCATTAAATTGTGAAATAAATAATAATTAAGACAATGTTCAGAAACACGAATGAATTACATCTGGAGATGTCTCGCGGAGAATACAAACTACCTCGCAACACTCTTCTGTGGTTAGACAAAATTGTATTTGTTGAGCACAATTTTTACCGAAATCTAGAACCTAAATGTTAGGTAATAATTAACTAATTGTTTAAAAATTTATTTTAAAATAAATCTTTTTTTAAGTCTAAAAGCTTACAATTTTCAGATTATTTTCATTCATGCAAAATCGAAAGTTCTTTCTATCGGTGCAACTCAGCCCTAATAAAAAGAAAAACGAGAAACGTGAAAAATGAATATATTTTTATTAAATCTCATCTAGATTTCCATAAGTATAATGATAATGTTATAACTACAGAAAGTTAACTACAGAAAGTTAATCGAGTGTTATCAACACTTACCACAATAAATGCCATAGGCCTGGTCAATACTTGCATATGAATCTGCTGGTGTAGCATTCGAAACACCCATAGCATTAATTGGTGAAACAACAATAACAAACATGAATAACACTAACATAAACGTCATATTTGTTGATGTTTTCATTTCCTACGGTAAATTTCTGTAAGTATATATTTTATCAGGTGTCAGTAGATCCTGTTCTAATACCTTACCAGGAAAATTACAATTTTAAATCACCTGAAAAAGTAACAAGTATTTAATCTTGGAAAAAGTAATTTATTTTCACATGCATTTCTTAACTGAGATTATTTCATCAGGTGCTGTACTTTTAGTGATTGATTCAAAATTATCGGAGTTTATCTTTATTATATTTTTATGCTAAATACAGTGGAACCCCGGTTAACGAACGTCCTGGTTAACGACCAAATCGGTTAACGAACTATTATCTTGCAAAAATTTTGTCTCGGATAACGAACTTAACGGCTTTTTGTGTCAAATTTGTAAGCTTGCCGACTTTTAGGGAAAATCAGTTAATCGTGTGTCGGTGATGGTCTAGGGTCCATTCGTACGTTGGTGATGGCGGAGGAGACAAAGATGACAAGTATTTTATAGTGAAAATCGTTTATTAGAACGGGAAGATGCTTACATATTTGAGGTAGTTGGAAATGGCTTATCTACAGTATTTTCTCTCGGCACTGAGGAGTGGCGTATCGCTGGTCCTACGATAGTGCAAGCTGATCAGTCGTAGCCCCNTTGTACACCACTCCTGCGACATCAAGCTGATTTCTTACTGTTTTCTGACCTTTGGTATTGATAATATTAATGATATTTGACATTTTATTTTCCTGCTTGGCAACTAAACATACAGAAGATTTTTTAAATAAAGGTTTATATCGTTCATATAAATTGTATATATAAGGCATTTTTACATAAATATTATTATCTACACTATTTTTAACATTATATCTGTAATTTATAAAAGAACTGTACCACTTACAAATTTTGTTCTTTGGATAATCATTCATTAAATATTTTCTAAATAATTGTTTAATTTCTTTATCTATATCTTCCTGGAGTGTTGTTCTGTTTAATATTTTCCTCAATTCCATGGAAAAAACGTTTTTCTTAGTTTCTATAGGGCAATAAGATTTATAACTAATTGTTTTTTCTGTATTACACAGTTTTTCGTACTTACGGAACAGTAGTTGCGTTTTCTCACGTTTAATAGTCACATCCAAATAGTTTATTTCCTGGTTTTGTTCTATTTCACTAGTAAACTTTATATTGGGTTTTAAGGTATTCGCATAATCTTCTATTTCACGAGGTGTTACTACACAAGAATCAAAGATAATTAATATGTCATCCACATATCGGGCATAAAAATCAATACCTGGTATTTGTGATATACTGTCATCAATTGGTTTCATGCAAATCTCTGCTAGTTTAGGTCCAATCACTGATCCCATTGATATTCCATCTTTTTGGCGAAAAAACTCTGTGTTAATTTTAAAATAATTATTTTTAAATATAAATTCTATAAGAGAAATTATATAATCTGGTATTTCATATTTACTGATAGATTCTTTTATCATATGTAATGTTATTGATGGGTACATTGATTTTATGTCTAAACTCATAAGGCGGTGATTTTGCATAACATTACCTTTCAGTAATCCATTAATTAATTCATCTGTATCCTTGATGCTGTATGACGGTCTGTCAATTATCTGCAAATACTTTTTTAAAAAACATTCCAAATTATATAAGACTGTTTTTTTAAAATCAACTAGTGGTCTACACTTGTTTCCAGGTTTATGAGTCTTGACCCTTAAATTTAGTTGTGGTTGTCTTATATTATTGAAATCTAGTATATTTTTTACCTGTTGACTCGAAAAGTACTGTTTATGTTTCTTGATTATTTTCACTAAATTATTCTGTATTTCCTTTAATGGATCTGATGTCAATTTTTCATATTCATCCGACATAGCTATTTCATTCTTCTTTTGTTTTACTTCTTCTTTCGTAAATATAACCAATTGATGTGATTTATCTGCTTTTAATATAGAAAGTTTATTATTATCAAAAAATTTAATTAACCTTTTAGTTTTCTCATTTATTTTTATTGCTTTCTTATCAGATATGTAACCATTTTTACCTTTATATTTTTTCAAATCCTTACTTATATTGGACCTTAACGTCGCCTTGTCCTCGTTGTTTCCAGGAATTTTTTGAATAACATGTTCTATATCAGCTACTATCGGATATGGTTTAGCATATATTGGGAGGTTCATGTTATATCCCCCTGACAGGAGTCTTGTAAAGTCACCAGGTATCACTACGTTGGTACAATTAATTATCAATTTTTCTAGATTTATACGGAGGGAATATACAGCCCATTGTATATTCCCTCCCAATCCAAGGATCCGTATAAATATAAAATTGCAGCTTTCAGAGCTTTAATAAGAAAGGCATTTTTGTATTGTGAAAGAGTACAAGACAGGAGGAAAGAAATAAATAGAATAATAAGCGTAGCCAAGACCCTAGGTTACCAAAAAAGCGCAATTCTGGGAATGGTTAGGAAGTATGAAGCGAACATCAAGAAAGGGTCTTTTAAAAGTGCTCCCAATAGAATTGTAAAATTTACATATAATGAAAGTATGAATAGAGTCATGAAAAAGATTGCTCACAGAAAAGGTTCGAGGATGCTTATAAAAAGGGCCCCTAATTCATACAAAATCCTCAGGAATGATAAGGATGATATAATGTCAGAAGAGAAAGCAGGGGTTTATAGAATTCGATATGGGAACATGCAATTGGGCGTTAAAAAAGACTATATTGGAGTAACCACCAGGAGTTTAGAGCTTAGAATCAAGGAGCATGGTTATAATATCAGAAAGGGGTCTAATGCAACAATTTTATCCCAAATGGCACAAGCACCAGGAGCTGTAGTCAAATGGAATGAGGCAACCATCATAAAACCTTTATCTTCTCCATCTTTGGCGTTGACAGCGGAAAAGTTGTAGATTTATAGGAGTAGAATACAAGAAGGCTGTTTAAATGCGAGAGATGCAGAAAGTCTTCCCACTGCATGGAAGTTTATAGTTAAGAAGTTTAATAAGAGCTCTAACCAATCAAAATAGTAGTTTTATTGCATGTGTTAGTAATTGCATTTATTAATACTTCTATATACATTTTTTACATTTTTATATTTTTTATTTTTGTTTTATGTTACTCTGTTGGTTATTTAATACTTTAATTTATTTTAATTTTATCTTATTTAATTTTGAATTTTGAATTTTGTATTCCATTGATGGAATCTTTTAATTTAAATGTGTTCTAAACCTGAGGATGGCCTGTGAATCAGGCTGAAAACGTTTGTTTCAAATAAATTATATTTCTCGGCAAGAATAAGGTGTTAGTTATATGTAAATTTGACCTTACGAAAAATATGATATAGAATTACATCTATCTTAACATCATTTGACTCGTTTGACTACCAATATTTTATAGCATTAATGTCCCATACACAGAAATAATTTTGCCAAGTTTCAAAAGTTTTGATTCAACCAGTCCCGAAATATTACACAAAATGAATGCTGACACACACCCATACAAAATATTGTGAGTGGAAATTTTCACTTTTGGGATCGCGGAGTATCAAACGTCAAGAATTGCCGACGAAAAAAGAAATACTCGGAAAAAATCAAACTTACTTTCCCTATGTTAACTTATATTCCATACGAATCAGAAGAGTAAACGTTTTCGTGTATTTAAGATTTGTATCTATATTTAACAGTCTCATTGACAGAAAATGGCTTTACTAAAATTAAGAAATGCAAATATTTTAAATAAAATAATCTAATAACTAAATTAATTTTTTAAAATACATAAGAACATTTTTTTTCTTGCCATTTTCTTAACTTTAAACAACAACGCCGAAAATAACAGGTTAAAACTCATAAAACAAAACATTACATAAAAATTTTAATTCTAATTAATATTTAAATTTTGTTCATTTACTTGTAGTCAGTTTAAAAGTTTCATATAATAGACGAGTAATTATTTATTCTGATATCGTCACAATACCGGCTGCAATTTTTAATCCTATCTCTAATTTATTTAATTTAAAATACATTATCTCACCTACATATTAGTAGTGGCTTGCTCCTGTACATCATGCTTTTCCTTTAACAACAGAGTCGTGCTAGTCATCTATCTAACACCTTTCGGGGAAAAATTTTCAATTCAAATAACCTGACTTCCGATTTTCATCGGATGTTCTTATAGTTACTTGGGATTCTTGCCCTAATGTTTCCATATCTCTTTTCGTTTTTGAATGAATTTAGTTGATAACTAACGTCATCTGTTATATAAAATCCTTTTGTAATTAGTCGATTATTGTAATTATTGAAAAAAAATCCAGTATTTAAGATTTGTATTTGATTTATGATTTTCCTTGAAAAAACTGATAAAAATAGAATTAAATATTTCTTTTTACACGTTGCATTTGAAAACCAGAAAAGTGTAAAAGTAAACAATTACTTTCTAATTGCGTGATAAAATATATACCATAGTTTCTTCACCTATTTATTTTTTACAATGAAGAAAGGTAAAACAGAGAACTTACCTGGTTATAATCTATTAAAATACAGTATGCTGAACTCTACGTTTTATACCGTTAAGTTTATTCGCTTGGATCAAGTAAAGCTGCTTAGCAATTTGTGTAAACGTCTGTTGGAGTCGCACTTATATACTATTCCACATAGAAACAACAGCTGCGTGTGTTTTCAACACTCGTAACATACAACACCAACTTCATTTTCTTATAATTTATCTTTAAGACTGACTAATGCTTCAGTTTTTAAATTCTTATTTAAATAATATCTTCACTTACGTTTTAAATTAACTTGAAATATAAATAAAATTGATGTAAATTTAAAATTTTAGCTGTTTTAATCTGTTTTTAATTTAATTTATTAAACTAAGTTGAAACCAATATACAAACATCAAGAACAAGTTTTTCTATTTTGAAGGCAATTAGGAAATGTTCCAGATAATTAAATACATGCAAATATAGTTTATATCATATACTATAAATTAAACGTGATTGTATTATAAATTTATTAATAATTTTTAATATTGTGGTTTTAGAAACTTAGCTGCAAATATTACGCAATTGAAGTCACTTAAATATATAATTTTTAATAAAAAAATACCATTTACTTTATTAGAAAGTTGATTATGATTATTATTGGCTTAATGAAAATTAAGCCGATAAATAAACGTTTAAAAATACACTATTTTGATGTTACAATAGAGCATATCACAGAGGTTATCGCGGCTTAAATTACCAAAATTTTTATTATTTTTCGTAATATATAACAACTATAATATTTTTTCCCAATGTAAAATACTAAACACAAGTTAACAACGCCTAAGATGATGCATATGATTAGACAATGTAGAAGTTGCAGAAAAGTATTTAACGTTAATTTAATACTGATTTATAAATTTTTCCAAATAATACCAGTTTTTAATTGTTATGGTAAAAGAATTTACGGAAAGTTTAAAAAAATTTTTATTTCATAAGTCTTTATCTATTATTGGCTTTGTTTCTTAATATATTGCAGTAAGTTATCGATGTATATAGATATTACTATATATTGAATTTCAAAATATATTTTAAATTTCTTAATAAAATAAATAAAATTGAACATAAAAATTAATAATTTAAAAACACTCAAATAAATACAAGGTGCTTAAGCAAGAAATAGTTTGATTTCATACAGCAGCAGCAATTTGATATAGAAATTACAATATGTGGGGCCTATGTATAATTTACCCAATTTCTTTTAAATACTTTTCTTGGAATGTTTCGAAATTTAAACATTTTAATAAATTTATAAAATTATTTCATTATATATTTATTCATTATTTATATGAAGAAAGTAAGGAAAAGTGTTCTTAATTCAGAAAATAAAAAATGATATGGAAATAGATGCAAGTTTTTATTCTGAAAATATTCACTTAAATAGGTAGAAAATTTAATAAAAGAGAATTTTATTTTCTGATGTAAAAATGGAAATTCTTACCTTTCTTTTTGGTTCTTATTCCTACGTTAATTTGTCTTTTATTAGTTACACAGCGAAATTACCAACGAAATATACCTGTAAAATGAATAAAAACTTCATCGTTTTTATAAACATTTAAAACTTATAACTTAAATATTTATCTAACGCCATTGTCGTCTTTACACCTATGTTTTCACAGTTAAAATACACAAGTGTTGTATAAAATGACGCAAATATAGGGGAGATCGGGGCAAGATCGGCATGTTAAGCTTTACTTAAATTTTGTGTAATAAATACTGCTGTAAACTGAAAAAAACCTTTTGCATATTGTCTATTGGAATGTTACCTTACTATATAACTGGTTAAAATCAGTTTGGAAATAAAAATAATTAAAATAATTACAACTTTACAAGAAGAGAGAAATTGACGAAGTTGCNCGTTTTCGTGTATTTAAGATTTGTATCTATATTTAACAGTCTCATTGACAGAAAATGGCTTTACTAAAATTAAGAAATGCAAATATTTTAAATAAAATAATCTAATAACTAAATTAATTTTTTAAAACACATAAGAACATTTTTTTTCTTGCCATTTTCTTAACTTTAAACAACAACGCCGAAAATAACAGGTTAAAACTCATAAAACAAAACATTACATAAAAATTTTAATTCTAATTAATATTTAAATTTTGTTCATTTACTTGTAGTCAGTTTAAAAGTTTCATATAATAGACGAGTAATTATTTATTCTGATATCGTCACAATACCGGCTGCAATTTTTAATCCTATCTCTAATTTATTTAATTTAAAATACATTATCTCACCTACATATTAGTAGTGGCTTGCTCCTGTACGTCATGCTTTTCCTTTAACAACAGAGTCGTGCTAGTCATCTATCTAACACCTTTCGGGGAAAAATTTTCAATTCAAATAACCTGACTTCCGATTTTCATCGGATGTTCTTATAGTTACTTGGGATTCTTGCCCTAATGTTTCCATATCTCTTTTCGTTTTTGAATGAATTTAGTTGATAACTAACGTCATCTGTTATATAAAATCCTTTTGTAATTAGTCGATTATTGTAATTATTGAAAAAAAATCCAGTATTTAAGATTTGTATTTGATTTATGATTTTCCTTGAAAAAACTGATAAAAATAGAATTAAATATTTCTTTTTACACGTTGCATTTGAAAACCAGAAAAGTGTAAAAGTAAACAATTACTTTCTAATTGCGTGATAAAATATATACCATAGTTTCTTCACCTATTTATTTTTTACAATGAAGAAAGGTAAAACAGAGAACTTACCTGGTTATAATCTATTAAAATACAGTATGCTGAACTCTACGTTTTATACCGTTAAGTTTATTCGCTTGGATCAAGTAAAGCTGCTTAGCAATTTGTGTAAACGTCTGTTGGAGTCGCACTTATATACTATTCCACATAGAAACAACAGCTGCGTGTGTTTTCAACACTCGTAACATACAACACCAACTTCATTTTCTTATAATTTATCTTTAAGACTGACTAATGCTTCAGTTTTTAAATTCTTATTTAAATAATATCTTCACTTACGTTTTAAATTGACTTGAAATATAAATAAAATTGATGTAAATTTAAAATTTTAGCTGTTTTAATCTGTTTTTAATTTAATTTATTAAACTAAGTTGAAACCAATATACAAACATCAAGAACAAGTTTTTCTATTTTGAAGGCAATTAGGAAATGTTCCAGATAATTAAATACATGCAAATATAGTTTATATCATATACTATAAATTAAACGTGATTGTATTATAAATTTATTAATAATTTTTAATATTGTGGTTTTAGAAACTTAGCTGCAAATATTACGCAATTGAAGTCACTTAAATATATAATTTTTAATAAAAAAATACCATTTACTTTATTAGAAAGTTGATTATGATTATTATTGGCTTAATGAAAATTAAGCCGATAAATAAACGTTTAAAAATACACTATTTTGATGTTACAATAGAGCATATCACAGAGGTTATCGCGGCTTAAATTACCAAAATTTTTATTATTTTTCGTAATATATAACAACTATAATATTTTTTCCCAATGTAAAATACTAAACACAAGTTAACAACGCCTAAGATGATGCATATGATTAGACAATGTAGAAGTTGCAGAAAAGTATTTAACGTTAATTTAATACTGATTTATAAATTTTTCCAAATAATACCAGTTTTTAATTGTTATGGTAAAAGAATTTACGGAAAGTTTAAAAAAATTTTTATTTCATAAGTCTTTATCTATTATTGGCTTTGTTTCTTAATATATTGCAGTAAGTTATCGATGTATATAGATATTACTATATATTGAATTTCAAAATATATTTTAAATTTCTTAATAAAATAAATAAAATTGAACATAAAAATTAATAATTTAAAAACACTCAAATAAATACAAGGTGCTTAAGCAAGAAATAGTTTGATTTCATACAGCAGCAGCAATTTGATATAGAAATTACAATATGTGGGGCCTATGTATAATTTACCCAATTTCTTTTAAATACTTTTCTTGGAATGTTTCGAAATTTAAACATTTTAATAAATTTATAAAATTATTTCATTATATATTTATTCATTATTTATATGAAGAAAGTAAGGAAAAGTGTTCTTAATTCAGAAAATAAAAAATGATATGGAAATAGATGCAAGTTTTTATTCTGAAAATATTCACTTAAATAGGTAGAAAATTTAATAAAAGAGAATTTTATTTTCTGATGTAAAAATGGAAATTCTTACCTTTCTTTTTGGTTCTTATTCCTACGTTAATTTGTCTTTTATTAGTTACACAGCGAAATTACCAACGAAATATACCTGTAAAATGAATAAAAACTTCATCGTTTTTATAAACATTTAAAACTTATAACTTAAATATTTATCTAACGCCATTGTCGTCTTTACACCTATGTTTTCACAGTTAAAATACACAAGTGTTGTATAAAATGACGCAAATATAGGGGAGATCGGGGCAAGATCGGCATGTTAAGCTTTACTTAAATTTTGTGTAATAAATACTGCTGTAAACTGAAAAAAACCTTTTGCATATTGTCTATTGGAATGTTACCTTACTATAGNTAATAAATAATAAAATAAATGGATAAATTTATTAAAATATTTTACGTTCGAAACATTCCAACAATAAGTATTTTAAAGAAACAAAGTAAGTCATAATATTATAATTTATAGTCTACATCTCAGAATTTGATAAGCACAGTAGCATGTAGACTATTTCTTTGACTGCGTTTTTAAATTTTTAGTATTGATTTTCATTTTTATTTATCTTATGAAGAAAGTTTTAAAAGTGTTTGTAAATTTACTATATAGTACTATCTATATACTCTGATAAATTACTATAATACAAATGAACAAGTAGAGCCACCCATAGTTGTATTGAGAAAAAATACTTATTGTGGTCTTTTATCGTATTAAAACATCGAATTGAAGAATGTATATGAAAATATATCGTAAAGAGAAGCTTACTTTTTCTTAGCTAAAGGCAATTTGCTCCTTTTATTTTGCCTCTAAGCATCCCTCTTAAGAACACTTGTATATTAGTAGTAGTGGTTTGACACATACTGATCACAAAATTAATTTCATGAGTAAATT